TTTCTCTCTACAATCACCCCAATTTCTATCAAAGATAATCAAAGTAAGACTAATTTGTTCACAAAATAAGTCTAGTCTAATTCAGCTTGCCCTAATTATTTACATAAGTGCAGCAAGAATGGTAATTAACCACATGGCCTTTTTTTAGTTTGCTTTGCTGGAACTTTTCGTAAGGAATCTCAGTTTAGACTTTTAAAAGCCTCTCAAGGCTAGGAAGCCAAACCAAGAACTCGTCACCAGACTTCATCATCAGTACTTATAGATTTGGGTGAATTCTTCTCTTTATGAGGTTCCCAAGATATTTTAAGATTTCTGGGCCTTCCAGGAAGTAACCTTTTCTTTTTTTTTTTTCTTTCAAATAGAGTTTTCTAGGCATTGGCTCCATAAAGTCAACCTTAGTTCCTTAAACCATCTGGTCCTGATTCTATGCATCATTCTCAAATATGACATTCCAACTGAAGCCTTGGTAATATAACCACCATTTCCAATTGTGTCCTGTTACAAAGAAAACAGATTCTTATTGAACTTACACAAATAACTATACTGATTGTCATGGAAATAAGAATATGCAATAAGAGTTTCCAAATTTTGGAGGGATCAGGTAGGGAGAAAAAATAAATGTTTCATTTCTCTTTATAAAACTATAATATACTAAATTGTTACAAGTTATATACAGCTTAAGAATAAAGGGAGGGCCGACCCCGTGGCTTAGTGGTTAAGTGCGCGCACTCCGCTACTGGTGGCCCGGGTTCGGATCCCGGGCGCATGATGACGCATCGCTTCTCTGGCCATGCTGAGGCCGCGTCCCACATATGGCAACTAGAAGGATGTGCAACTGTGACCTACAACTATCTACTGGGGCTTTGGGGAAAAAAAAGGAGGAGGATTGGCAATAGATGTTAGCTCAGGGCCGGTCTTTCTCAGCAAAAAGAGGAGGATTAGCATGGATGTTAGCTCAGGGCTGATCTTCCTCACAAAAAAAATAAATAAGTAAATAAAGAATAAAGGGAAAGGGGTTCCTTAGATCCAGAAAATAGAAAATTAAAGAACCAGCAATGTTCCAAACAAAAACTATAGTCATCCTTCATCCGTTCACACAGTCTCATATAATTAATTCTTGTTCTGCTTGATCTTGGGTTAGCAGTTTTATGAATTAAGTTTCTCCACTTGAATTCTTGCTCAATCCAATGGTGTGATTTCAACGATAGTCAAGTGATGCCATCATAGAGCATTTGCCTGTAGCTGTTTGTAAATGCTTTCCGAGAAGAATCAGAGTAAACAATAACTGCCTGTGAATGACAAAAGACTTAAAAATAGCCATGGTTAAAGATCTGATAAGAGTTCATTTGATAGGAAATTTAGTAATTTCTGTGGCATACATTTTAACATAATAACTGATAACATTATGCCAGACATATCATGAACAGTGAGGGTAATGACAAATTTATATGAACGTCATACAATCTCTGGAACAGTTATAGTAATAACATATACCCATACAAGCATACTAAAGAAAGTTTAGCATCATTTCTTATTTGACGATGCTTCTCATGAAATTTGACATATCAAATAAACCAAATTATTTTTAATATTTCTCTCTACAAGATGAAAGAACAAATCCTTTGAGGTTTTCCAGGGGCCTGCTGGGAAATTTCAGGGTCAGGTCTAGAACAAGAAGTTCCATTTAGGATTTGATTTTGGGAAGGCAAAATTGTCACAAATGTAAAAAAAGGTTTGACTTGATTAAATAGGCTCACAGATAACTATGAAACAATACTTAATTATCTATATATCCAAAGTGACAATAAAAGATTCTTAAGGCAAACACAGAAGTTAAATGGTTGTGAACAAAACTCTTAGCTCTTTTAATATTGAGAAGATTTGGTTTCCTTAAGTAATCGGAGACCTGATAAAGACAATGTGAAACATAGGAAATTATTTTGATCAGACACAAAAACTTTGTTTCCTAGGCAGATTACTTAAAGGGTAAAGAAAAATTTTTTTACAATTTCTTATTGAGGGCAGACCAATAATCCAAAAAAATTTTGTCTTTCTAGTTTTGTATCAGTACACTTTTAATATTGAGTCCTTTTAGAAAAATTTATAAATAAATCTATTCAAATCTTAGCCACCTTGACTACACATAAATTTCCTTTTCCAGAAACCTTCTACAACTTTTTAAAAAAACATATCTATTCAGTTGTTATCTGATATTTTTCCTCTTTCTTATTCTGGAATAACCAGTCATTCTACTTTAGGACACAATTACTTTCTTTTTTCCATGACAAAAATCTATTTTAAAATTTTTTTGTCATGGAAAATCTATTTTAAAAAGTATGCAGTCCTTCTTGCACTGTATACTTTTTCTTATCAAAAACATATCGTAGGGCTGGCCCTGTGGCGTAGCAGTTAAGTGCGTGTACTCTGCTGCTGGCGGCCCAGGTTTGGATCCCAGATGCGCACCGATGCACCGCTTGTTAGGCCATGCTGTGGCAGCGTCCCATATAAAGTAGAGGAAGATGGTCACGGATGTTAGCTCAGGGCCAGTCTTCCTCAGCAAAAAGAGGAGGATTGGCATGGATGTTAGCTCAGAGCTGATCTTCCTCACACACACAAAAAAAATCCTACTTTCCTTACATAATTTGCATAAAAATTTATTTCCCTTATTATTTTTAGTAGTTTTATTTCATATATTGGTTATAATTTTTAACCATCAGTAACCTTTCTTTTATAGAGAAAACTAGAAAGTAGATAATTGTGAATTATCTGTCACATACCAGTTTTCTACAGCAGACTATCAAATTTATGAATATACTATTTCACAATTTATAGTGGCATATTTTTCCTCATAGTACAATTTTTCAATGTGGCAAAAAGGACATACTTAATAATAGATCCAAATATCTTTAGTTTCTCTATACTGTATAAAAACAAGAAGCCAAAAATATCTAAACTTAAACTTATGCTCAGTAATTAATGTAGTTTATCTTACATACAATAGTTTATCTCACATAGATAAGTTTGTCTTACATAGAAGTAGTTTATCTTACATAGAAATGATATAGATTTTTACTTTAGGCAGACAAATTATAACACCACACAAAGCTGGCCATCATCTCAAGTTATTTCCTATAACTATTTTTACAGCACGTATATGTTAGGCAAGCATCACAAAAGCAAAAAGTGTGAAAAGTTAAATACATGGGTTTTCAAGGGTTTTTTGTTTTACTATGGTGCTTGATATACATGAAGTAATGGATGTCAAGTAATTTATTTTTACTGCATCTTTACTTGTACGTTTGTGCTTAGGTTGAATTTATAACATTAGCTTGTAAACCCAAGTGGAGTAAAAATGTATGTTCGTATTATACTTAATGCTGACAACTCAGAAGACATAGCTGTATTAAACTAATTTTATTTACCAAAGCTTTACCCAAGTCATGTGAACTTGCAAAGCATTTGGGTTAGTTTCCGTATCTCTGGGAGTTTTAAGAATATTTAATTTAATTTAATTTATATATTTATTTACTTTATATAAATGCACATTTCTCTTAAGCCAATTTGAATAGAACTCCTTTAAGGGATTTTATAAATTAATTTAGTAATACCATCCAGAGGTAGAAAAATATCACACATACATTACATATATACATATGCATATCTGTAAACATACATAAATATACAGACAGATACAAACAGATCTTATAGCTTTCATTCTAAAATTTTAGCTATGAGTCAGTAAAACATAGTGATACAGACTCACAGGTTTATATAAAATACTTAGCCCTCATCTTTTCACCACTTTATATTTTTATCTAAATTGTGTTTGACAAAAATGAAATAAGCTGAGATTACCTACTCCATAAGAGAGCTAATTCTTTTCATCCATATTTGTGGAGAAGACTGTTCAGATTTTCTTTTGTCATGATATGTAATCTTATAGGTGGTATGGACTACCTTTTAGGTGAGTGACTGAGGAGACGTCTAGCAGCTGCCTGGATGTCTTCAAAGCCTATCTGAGTGGGCAAAATGTCTAGTTCTGTTTCCAAATCTTTTTTTTTTTTCTCTTTTCGGCCTTAGGTGGTTACTTTCAGGGATTCCTGAGTTGAGAGCCCCAAATGGAGGGTAGGGGGCTTTTTAAAGTTCAAGTGACTGATGGGCTGAAGCGGAAAGAGAAAAGGTTTAGCAGGGTGGACAGAGGGATGAAGGAGGTGGTGGCTTGAAGGAGGACATACCAACGGATTCAAGGGAACTGAATGGAAGATAGAAGGTGGCAAAAGGCGGAAGAAGGAGCAGAAGCAACGGGAAGGAAGAGTTCTTAGAGGAGCCAGTTTGGGGAGATTTTATGAAACCAGAAGAAACCAATTAAGTTCCCTATTGTCCTTAGCAAAATTGTCCCAAGAAGAAGGAGATAGATAGAGTTGGCAGAGCATGTAGCCAGCAGGGACTCAAGAAGGGGGTTTCAGTCAACTGAAAAGTTCTCATGGGAGAAGCAGGACCCAATAGAGACAACACAGAGGCCTCACAGAGAGCCGGGAAGAAAAAAGACTTCCAGCCCAGGGAGTCAGGGAATAATCCCTACTCAGAACAAGGAGCCAGGAAGAAGTCCTTCCAAGCCAGAAGATATGTTTCAAAAGAACCCCGGGATTCTAATGCAGAATCTCAAGAACCAAACAAAATCTGTCTCTGCCAGCTTCAGTGGATATTTGTCTGGAGCAATGGTTCCAAAGTCAGACTCATCAATGGATCCCTGATCAACTGGTCAGGAGTGAAGACAAAGGCTTCAGAGATGCGCATTAGGGTCCTGAGTGAGAGGTCCAGGGGTCCAACGACAAATCTGATCCTATCCGAGTCACGGCACCATACCTGTTAAAGAAAAAATTGTTCAATGTCACTTGTTAAAGCATGGCAAGGCAGACTTTCATTCAGGACCATCGCAGTGGGTCAGTGGATGGAAAATTATTAAGAGGAAACATCAGGAATAAGGGATAGGAGTTCTGGCTAAACCAACCTAACATGATTCTTGCTGAAGACAGGCCAGAGTGATCAGACATCACCTGGGGGATGGTAGAGGATGAGACATCTGATTAGATATTGAGAGTGTTCAGATATACAGGATGGGGGCTTTTTGCTAAACTGACTTCGCAGGATTTTTACAAAAACTGGATTTTACAAGGATGTGTACAGATGGACCTAGGAGAAGTTTCAGGAGACAGACTGAAGTTTGGTCAAGCAAAGAATCTCAGTCAGAAGATAGGGCCGTGATGGGAGCATTCCAAACAGGAAGCAGAAAAGTACAGAGTGTGTAGGAAATGGAAACTATGAGTTTATTAGTTGCCTAATGCTATGTGACAAACCACTCCAAAACTTAGTGGTTTAAAACAACAAATATTTATTATTTCTCACAATTCTATGGATTGACTGGGCAGTTCTGCTGGTCTTGCCTGGACTCTCATGTACATACATTGAGCTGCTGGCTGGGCTTAGCTGGGCTGGAAGATCCAAGATGGCCTCACCCACATGTCTGGAGCCTTGGGGCTAGCTATGTGTTGGGGCTTCTCTATTCTTTTCCACATAGCCTCTGTTGGGAGGAAAACTCTTCCTCTTCCAACGTGGGTCCAGTGAGTGAGGACCTGCAAATTGACTGACAATATATAGATTAACAGGAGAATTGACAAGGTTGATTTACATGTGCACAGGAGCTCCCAGTAATCAAGTGATATATATATCAACTTAACAAAACGAGGGTTATTAGGGCTTCAATGGGAAAGTATGAGCAGTTCTACTGGGCTTTTTGATGCTAATGGAAATGGGGAGTCTGTCTCCAAGGCAGCAGAATTCACAGCAAACTCTCTGGGAGGAGAGGGTAATAGTATTTTCAGGAGGCTCTGCTTTAGTCAGATAAGGGAAGTTCAGATAAGATTTCTTTCTGTATCTTCTGTTCAAATTTTTTTCACTTTACCGACTCTGGGGTGCCCAATGGGTTCCCACACCTCTCACCCTCCAGGAGGCTGGACTTGCTTCCTTATTTGGCTGTCTGCAGACTGTGTTCTGATAGACAGCAGAAGCTGCAAGTATCTTGAGACCTAAGCTCTGGAACTCATGCAGTATCCCTTCTGCTATGTTCTACTGGTCAAAGCAAGTCACAAGAACAGGCCAGACTCAAAATTTGAGAAATTGATTCAACCTCTGAGGGGAGGAACAGCAAAGAATTTGTGGCCATAGTCTATCTACCACAGAGCTTGATTGGAATATTGGGTAGGTGGAAGGGAATCACCCTTTGTTTTACTGAGCTCGAGTCCTGAAGGAGCTATATACCTCCCTCCCAACCTACCCACCTGGCCCCTCTAGAAGGAGATCTGCAAAAGCCTGAAATGTTCATCCTGAGCTCCCAGCTTCTCGCCCTTCTCATCTTCTTGCCACTCTCTCTCTGCTCTGTAGCCCAGCTACAGCCAAGCCAGGTGATCTTGGGCCTGTCACTTTTCCTCTCTAGTCCTCCTAACTCAGATACCCATTTTTCTCCCCACCTCACACCCTAGAAGCCTCCTCAACTTTCCCTGTGGGAAGGAGAAACCAGCTCAGAGTGACTTGAGTGGAGAATTAGGAAAGCTCTTTGAGGCTTCTTGGAGTTTCCAGTCACAAAATAATAATAAATCCTTTGAGATAACAAATCTGTTGGGTAAAACCTGAACAATGGAGCAGGAGAACTTGGTGGGGGCACTCACAAGAAGTGGGATGGAAGGGAACTGGAAACAGAGAGTTAGGGGCCGGCCCGGTGGCACAGCGGTTAAGTGCGCGTGCTCTGCTTCGGAGGCCGAGAGTTTGCCGGTTCGGATGCCGGGCACGCACCGACGCACCACTTGTCCAGCCATGCTGTGGCTGCGTCCCATATAAAGTAGAGGAAGATGGGCATGGATGTTAGCCCAGGGCCAATCTTCCTCAGCAAAAGAGGAGGATTGGCATCCGATGTTAGCTCAGGCCTGATCTTCCTCACCAAAAAAAAAAAAAGAAACAGAAAGTTATTGTAATGTACAGCATGGTGACTATAGTTAATAATACTGTATTGTATATTTGAAAATTGCTAAGAGAGTAAATTTTATTTATTTATTTATTTTTTGTGAGGAAGATCAGCCCTGAGCTAACATCCATGCCAATTCTCCTCTTTTTGCTGAGGAAGATTGGCCCTGAGCTAACATCCATGCCCATCTTCCTCTACTTTATGTGGGACGCTGCCACAGCATGGCCTGACAAGCGGTGCATTGGTGCGCGCCAGGGATCCAGACCCGGGGCCGCCAGCAGTGGAGTGCGCACTTAACCGCTACGCCCCGGGGCCAGCCCCCTAAGAGAGTAAATTTTAAAAGTAAAACAACCAAAAACCAGAAAGTTACTCCTAACTTCCCATGCACTGCCCCAGGCATTAACTATAACAATTGGAGCTGGTTCTCTTGCTAGGATGATAACATCTAATAACCCATAATTACCTATAATGACTTCACAGCGTTCAGCCCAGGTAAGAGCCCAGGCATTTCAGGATAATGGCTTTTCTTCCCTTTTTATTCTGAGTGTTAACACACTCACTGCATGGATGGAAAGGCATTTATTAACAACTGTATTTGATAATTGGGCTGGTTTTGACTTATGTGCTATTCATTACATACTTCAAGTCAATATGGATAAGGGTCCTACATCTGGGCCAGGATAAGAGAAGGAGCCAGAAAACCCAGTTCTTCTTAAAAGGAGTCTCTGGTGTCCAGCGAGGACAGAGGGTGCTTCATTCTTATGCTCCTGGGTTGAGGTGAGGGAAGCGGGAAAGCAGGAGGCAGACCCTGGTGGGGACCACTGGAAGGAGACAACTCCCAGTAGGCCACCCATGAGCTGAGCCTCAGTTTTCTTATCTGCTAATTGAGGCTTAGGACCAGAGAATTTCAGAGCTAGAAGGTGTTGGGGAGGGGAAAAATCTGCCCCCTGCCTTTCTAGGTTCTTTTTGGCTGGTTGAATAATTAAAGTGACATAAGGCAGATTAACAGGAGAAAAAAAATTAATTAGTATGTATGGGGAATCCACATTAACACAACAGATTCCAAAGATAATCAGGCAAAATGAGGCATATATGTCATTCTGGACTAAGGAGAAGGGGATAGGGATCTGGAGAGAAGGAAGGCAATTCAGAAGAATAAAGACTAAATGTTTGATAAACAAATGTTTACTGGACCACACAGAAACAGTGGGACTCAGAGAGGAATTTAATTTTAAAATCAGACTTTGCTAGGTTCCTCCCTGTCTACCACACCTAGTTCATATTATACTGTAGTTATCTATGGTGATAGTTTCCTTTCTGGAACAGGCCCTTTATCTAAATTCTTTGAGGCTGTTAAGAGGGAGGTATGGGCCGGCCCGTGGCTTAGCGGTTAAGTGCACGCACTCTGCTGCTGGCGGTCTGGGTTCGGATCCCGGGCGCGCGCCAGCTGAGGCCGTGTCCCACATACAGCAACTAGAAGGATGTGCAGCTATGACATACAACTATCTACTGGGGTTTTGGGGGAAAAAAATAAATAAATAAAATTATATATATAAAAAAAAGAGGGAGGTAAAAGCTCTTCCTGAGTCTTTTGTTTCTTAAAAATAATCAGCCTAAAATTATCCTCATGACAAAGAGACACATTTTGGGGTGGCAAATTTGCTCCCCTACAAAGGAATCATAGATCAATGCCCATACTTTTATCCTTGTAAGAAAAAATTGTGAGGCTTTGAAATTAAGTGGGAGTCCTGATCTGGATAGCTCATCCATCCAGGTTATCTCTGCCTGGTTTGTCTTTGACTAGGCTATTTTACAACTCTGTAGATGTAGAAGTTAACTTGTAAAAAACTGATAGTAAGGCAGTTAATTCCTTTCTAAAGAAATGCAAATCGGGGCCATTACACAGTGGAGTGCAACTGATTCTTGTGTATACTGACCAATTTTGCCAGTTCTTCCACTTTCGCAACTGTGTATAAATTCATTTCAGCATTCCTTATCTGACTATAAACTTGTGTTTCTTTGAATTTCCCTTAGAATTGGTTGTAATATTTCAGGGCTTCCTCATTAATTAATGAGTTGAACTCTTTGACACAGGTGCATTTTATGTCTGTGTAAGAGTTGTCCTTGTATATTCCTTGAATATTAATCCTTTAACATCCTACAGAGAAGGATAAGGAGGCCCAGAGAGGGGATGAGACTTTCCCAAGATCACACAGTTTAGGGGTGCGAAAGCCATGACCAGAACCCAAGTCTTTTCTGGCTGCTCTCTGTTTAGTAATCTCTGATGCACCTCACAGGATTGTCACGAGGACCAGAAGAGAGAAGAGAAACTGGTGTGAAGAGTGAGACACGCCATGCAGAGGTGAGGGTTCCTGCCTGGGGGGTGGGGATGAGGAGAGGAGGCTCATGAGGTCCTGGGTTCCAGCCTCATGTACCAGGCACATGAGCACAGCCAGGTCATTCACCCTCCCTGAGTCTCATTACTTGCTCTGCTCACCTCACAGGGCCCCGGGGAAGAGGGGAGAGGTGAGAGAGGAAGCTAGTAAAAGAGCTGTGCTGATTTTAAAAATACGCCCACATATTCTTTGCTACTCCTCTCTTGAAGAGTGGAGCCTCATTCTTTTCCCTTGAATGTGGGCTGGATTGAGTGAGTCACTTCTAACAAACAGAATAAAGCAGAAGTAATGGGTGTGGGGAGGGGGGAGAGAGGGAGAGGGGGAGAGAGGAACTGAGGCCTCCAGGCCATAGCCATGTGTAGTAAAGTTGAGGGATTTCAGGGCTGATTAAAGAAAAAGATATGATCAGGAGATTGGCTGTAGCAGACAATGAGCTTTATTTGGGCTTTGACATATTTGCATGCAGGGGAAGCCCTTTACAGCATTAAACCTCCACGGGCAATGGCTTGGGGCCATCACCCAGAAGAGGAGGAGGGCCAGGAAACACCTTCAGGTGAGGAAGATGGAGAGGCACTTGCACGTCTAGATGATTTGTTCATCATCATGGGGAGTCTCTGGATGATAGAGCTCCAGGGGGCATTGGTGGCTTGGGATCTTTTACAGCTCCAGAGTTTATTGTACCTATGGCTAGCAGATGTGGGGTGCAATTTCATGGGGAATGCAAGGCAGTCAGACTTTAAATGATTAAAAATATGTTTATTTGGCCTATATTTAAAACAATTGGGTGTGTAAAAATTTGAATTTTGTGCCAGCAGGCTTTTGAGCCAACAGTCTCAGCCTGCTATGAGGAGCCAATATACGGGCCATCTTTGGATCATTATATAACATCATGTCAATCTTAGATTCTTTAGTCCCAGTCAAGCCTTAGGTGACTCTAGCCCCGAAAGACAGCTTGACTGAAACCTCATGAGAGACTCTGAGCCACACAGCCTAGCAACTTAGCTCCCAGATTCCCGACCCACAGACACTGTGTGAGGTATAAATGTTTGTTGTTTTAAGCTGCTAACTCTGGGGGTTTTGTTATGCAGCAGTAGATAACTAATACAAATGCCTTGAGAAACAAAGCCTGTCAAGCTGCACTAAAGGCTGGCTGTGCGCTCACTCCGTCACCCATGCATACCCCTGGCACACCGACATTTACTCTTTTATTTTTTGTGAGGAAGATCAGCCCTGAGCTAACATCTGATGCCAACTCTCCTCTTTTTTTGCTGAGGAAGATTGGCCCTGAGCTAACATCCATGCCCATCTTCCTCTACTTTATATGGGACGTCGCCACAGCATGGCTTGACAAGCGGTGCGTTGGTGTGTGCCCAGGATCTGAACCTGCGAACCCCGGAACCCCGGGCCGCCGAAGCAGAGCGCGTGCACTTAATCCCTTGTGCCACTGGGCTGGCCCCACCGACATGTACTCTTAATAGTGAAACTTAGCTCTGGCCCACACTTACTTTGGCCCCCACCTGACAGTTTCATGTGAGATATTTTTCAGCTATAGTTCAAAGAACCCACAGCTGCAAACTGCCCTGAACCAGTTCTAACCTGACGACAGGAGCAGCACCTGTGTAAAAGGACCTGGAGGCACCCTTCAGAGGTTGGGGGGAGGGTACCTTGCTAGGCACATTTGGTGCCCTGTGCAAAGGAGTTTGAAGAACTGGTCATGCACCAACTCTTCCTGGAAATCTCCGCCCCTTTCCCAGAACCCTGATGATGCCTATCCTCTCACCCGTTAAAGTTCCCCATTTCCGGGGTCCAGCCCCATGGCATAGTGGTTAAGTTCGCGCACTGCTTTGGCAGCCCGGGGTTTGCGGGTTCGGATCCCAGGCGCGGACCTGCGCACCACTTGTTTGGCCATGCTGTGGCGGTGTCTCCTATAAAGTAGAGGAAGATGGGCACAATCTGTTAGCCCAGGGCCAATCTGCCTCAGCAAAAAAAAAAAAATACAAAAAAAATAGAGAAAGATTGGCAACAGATGTCCGGGCTAATCTTCCTCACACATACACACAAAAAAGTTCACCATTCCCCAGTCTTCAGGGAGAAGGTGTCTTTAGAGCATGAGCTCTCCCTTCTCCATTCCTTGATCAACGAATAAAATTTCTGCTCTGCTATTCCGAACCTGGTCTCATTCTATTGGCACAAGCGACTCCAGGCAAAAGGACCCACCTGTGGGTCACTGGTCCCTTAGGGCTGGGTAACAACTCCCCCTCTCCTCCAACATCACCACAGGTGCTCCTTCTCCCAGGAGGCCAAGTGTGTTGCTTTGAGACTAACAAGGCACAAACCTTGGTCAGCATCAGCAGCCACTTCACTTGCTCTCTAAATTATTCATCCTGCCTTTGCCCCCATCCCAGCTCCAGACCTTTTCAATATTAAGCCTTTAGATAGGCCTGGGCCTCGGCTTGGGAGACTACATTTCTCTCTCATCCCTGCCACCCCCTCCTCTGGCCAAAGCCAGAAAGCTCTTTGAGAAAGCTCATCTCTGCCCTGACTGATTTTCCTTTTGGCTGTGGCTCCAGGTAATTGACTCTGACTGGGTCCTAATTAGGGAACTGGCTTTGCAATTTCCTGTCCTGAGAGTTGATGACACTGTGGGGGAGGAAAAATAATTTTTCCTCTGCCTTTCTAGGTTCTTGGCTGAGACCACACTGTAATAAAGAAGACAGATTAACAGGAGAAAAACAAACAGAAGTTTAATAACATGTATACCTCCTGTATACATACATGGTGGAGATCCTGAAAAACTAACTCCTGGAAATGGCCCAAGCCATTAACTAACACCAACTTAAATAACATCTCCAGCTAAAGACAAAAGAAGGTGTGGTGGGGAGGCTAGTTATGGGAGGTTTTCAGGAAAAGCACAGTAAACGAGAGTCATGTTGTAATGCAGATTCAAGTCTGCCTTCTCCATTGATAAGAGTTTCTAGAGATTTAAAGTCATCTTTCTCTTCCTGGTATAGGGAGGGAGTCATCTTTAGAAATGGAGATTTCTCTTATAAGTGTAAATGTCCCTTACAAAAGGGTAACTTTTACTTGGTTTTCAGAGCTTCTCCTGTGTCTGCACTTTCTTAAAAATAATCAGTCTAAAATAATCTTTCTGCCAAAAAGGCATATTTTGGGGTGGCAAATTCTGTTGCCCCTCAACACTGCAAAGTTGGCAGGTGCCCACTTCGCCTTTCCTTCTCTCCACCCTCAGCCCGGATGTTCCTCCATGTGTATGACTTGAATCTCTCCTGATGCAGTTTAAATCTGCACCCTTCTCTCTTTTTCCAAAGTAGAATCAGGGCCGGCCCGTGGCTTAGCGGTTAAGTGCGTGCGCTCCGCCGCTGGCAGCCCGGGTTCAGATCCCGGGCGCGCACCGACGCACTGCTTCTCCGGCCATGCTGAGGCCACGTCCCACATACAGCAACTAGAAGGATGTGCAGCTATGACATACAA